AGAAGGGAGTTGCAATAGTCAAGACGAGAGATAACAAGGGAGTGGATGAGTAATTTTGCGGTTTCTTTGGTGAGGAAGGGGCGTATTTTGGAGATGTTACGAAGGTGAAGGCGGCAGGATTTGGATAGTGATTGGATGTGGGGAAGAAAGGTGAGGTCCGAGTCAAGGATGACACCTAGGCAGTGGCGTAACAACCGCGGGGGCAGCTGGGGCGCGGGCCCCGGGCGAAAAGTGATGGGGGGGGTGACAGCCGAAAATGGCACTTTCGGCTACATGCCGAAAGTTACATTTTCCTGCCGCTTTGTCGGCGCGGCCATGATTCCTTTCATCCCCGCTGGGACACAGAGCAGTACTGGAAGGTGCACGTGCAGGAGGAAATATCAAGAGCTCAGTTTTTGAAAGATTGAGTTTTAAGAAGTGTTGCGACATCCAGACAGATATGTCAGTTAGTATTAGTTAAATGACACGAGGGGACACAGAGGGGGTGAGTTGTGGAGTAGAAAGATAGATTTGAGTGTCATCGGCATAGAGATGGTATTGGAAGCCATGTGAGGTTATTAACTGACCAAGGGAGGTGGTGTAGATAGAGAAGAGAAGTGGTCCAAGGACAGAGCCTTGGGCGACCCCTACAGAAAGAGGAAGAGGAGGAGTTAGAATTGTAGGTGACACTAAAGGAGCGCTTAGATAGGTAGGAGGAGAACCATGAGAGAGGCCTTTGCTTTCAGCAGTGAGTAGGTCATTAGTGAGTTTCAGGAGGGCGGTTTATGTCTAGGGTACACAGGATAGATTGTGTTTGTTTGTTACTCCTAACCCCTGCAGTCTGTGCGATACCTACTTCTTAGCCATGCGCTCTGTGCATTATATGGTCCTGTCTCCTGTGCTTTTCTTAAGCCTGATCCCTGCAACTTACTTACTTCTTACCCCTGCACTCTGTGCATTACATACTTCTTGCCCCTGCACCCTGTGCGTTACATATTCCTCACCTCTGCACTCTGTACATTACATATTCCTCAAACCTGCACTCTGTGCATTACATACTCCTCACCCCTGCACCATGTGTGTTACATACTCCTCACCCCTGTACTCTGTGTTACATACTCCTTTCTCCTGCACCATGAGTGTTACATGCTCCTCGCCTCTGCGATCTGTGTGTTTAATACTCCTCGCCCCTGCTTCTGTGTGTTGCATACTCCACTCCCCTGCACTCTGTGCATTACATATTTCTCCCCCTGCCCTCTGTGCGTTACATACTCCTTGCCCCTACATCATGTGCATTATGTACTCCTTGCCCCTGCACTGTGCATTACATAGTCCTTGCGCCTGGACTCTTTATCCTACATTGTACAGTATATATTTCCTTCCAACTTGTTCATGTTTTCAACAGTTTCTGGTTGCTGAGAAGTCCCCAGTTATTTAAATAAAATTCTTCTTCAAGTTAGGCTCAGAAAAAGTGTTAGCTCGACGAATGTATATAGTCTGTATGCTGAAAAGCATGTGTAATGGAGACTCCTGCTTGAGGCATAGTAATTAAAGCAAATTTTGTGTGTACAAGGACAGTGGTGTGTATATTATTTAACCATACCCCACTCCAAGCCCCTCCCATTGTTAGTATTATGTGGCCACACTCAGCATTCGCTATGCACGCTGCTCCAGTGCTCTATTCAGGGTACCTAAGGGTGGCCTCAGGTCTCTCACAATACTTTTTTTTTACTGAAATGGCACAAGTGACACCTCTTCAAGTTTGACAGGCACAATGCGGTGTGGCGCAAATGTACTACATCACTACCTGCTGCACTGGAAAACAGTACTGAATGCGCACAGACTTTTTTTTAGATAGTACCGCAGTGCAGTGGTGTGAACTAAGCCCATTTAAAACAAGGCAAATTGCCTTGTCAAGTGTTGGGACTGTGCTGGCAATTATGCACGAAACCACGTGGATGGCCGCGTGGTCACGGAATCGCACACCACTGTTGCTGATCGCGCTGGCGGTGCCATTCTTTTCTTATGGTACGCCAGGCAAATTGAGGTTTCTCGCCACGTGCCATCGTGCAATAGTGTGCGATCGCAGCTGAAAACACACGCGGTGCGTGTCGCGAAAAATGGTACACGTACCTTTTTTTCAGAGATTGCAGCGTAGATATAACCCCATTGAAATCAATGAGCAACCACTGAGTTCAAGCACACACGATTGCGTGTCCCGGAACGCACGTCCTGGAATTGCCCATGTCTGCACCTGGCCTCAGTTGTTAAATCTCACAATAGGAGAGAGATTTAATTGCCCGTTAGGCCTCATTCACACAGGCAGAATTTGCTGCAGTACAATATGCATCTTTATAGATGCGTATTGAC